CTAACCACATTTCTAACAAGTACATAAGTGAGGAAGATCATGGCAAGATCTTGTTTCAAGAGCTTTGTCTTTCCTGTCTTATTAATCTTCTTAAGTGTTCAACCTTTCTGTGTGAAGACCACTAAGTTAGGTATATCATTATAGTGATTTTATCATGCAAGGAAGTGCTTAAGGCAAATTTAGATCATCAGAATAATTTCCCATTTTTCCTACATTTAAAGATATTTTGTATCTTCTTTTCTGTCCTGTTGCTAATTATCCTAAAAGGGGCTTTGTAATAGAAAAGAATTTTTGTCACTGAACCAGTCATTTTTCACACTGCACTGCCCGTAATGCGATTGCTTAAATAAAAATTGGTGCAACTTTAACATCGTAATAAATTCATTCATTTCTTTGTCTTTCATTCTAACAATGTAAGGCATAATAAACTCTCGGTAGATATAGCAATATCCCGTAAGTATTTCTACAGGATTTTAGTTGTCATTTAATATTATTTCAAAGGACAAAACATAATTCTTGCCATTTTGCTCAGCTACTCATTTTGTAATTTTTTTGTTCTCCCATTATCACAGAAAAGAAATTATCAAATTAACCATTTTAACAAGCATTTGCTAGTTGTGCCTACATACCATTCATTTAAATGACTTGTGAAATCAATCAAATAATGGGGCCTAGTCTTCTTTCCCTGAATAATGACTTCAAGGAAGATCCACCTCCCTCTCTGGGAAAAATGGATAGCTGGGAATGCTCAGGGGAATAAAAGGATTTAAAGCACTGCACATAAAAGGCTGAGTAGAGGAGTCTTTGAAAATAAATGCAGGCTTCAACAAAGCATGAGAAAGAAAAGGATACAGAGGGTGCGGCTTGGTGTAGATATGAGCTGTGCATACAAAGAGGCTGCTGAGGAGATGCATAATACCCCAAGAGAATGAGCTGTAGGTGCTGTGCTGCAGGCTGAGGAAAACACATTTTGATGAGGGGCACAGGATGTGCAGAGGCTGGCTGTGGCTGATGGATTCATGAAGACACCTCAAAAAGAAGCCAGTTTGGAAAATTAAACTAATTATCTCAAACAAAGTGTTTGCATTTCCACTAGTATGCAATGAGCCTCTCTTCACAAAATCAAAAAATTATGAAGATGAGAAAAAAAGATTAAGTCCATTTAATATTTTAAAAACTACAAGTCTTTTTCCTATATCCCATATTTAGGATTAATTTGCAATAAAAGGCGCCTGATTTCTCATCAATCCAGAGTGATGAAAAGAATTGCAACTTTACCTCACAGTCACACAACTTCTGTCAGAATTTTTTGCATTTGTAGCAAAGTCTCACTGGAGGATTCTCTTAGAGCAGGACTGAAGTAGGCTGTAGCATTTCTAGCGAGTGTTAATGTACACTTGTCCAGAAAGCAAGCAAACATGGAAATGATTAAGGAAGATGGTGAGTAATCTTCCTAGATTAGCATCCTTAGAGTTCAAAAGATTTTTTAAAAAAATTAAGCTATTTCTCAGTTTTTGTTGTTTCAGTAAGCTGTTGGGTTAAACATGTAATTAAAAAGGAATGCACACATTAACATTGGTTAACATTTTTAATTGCATCAGAGCTAACAACTTCATGGGGAAATGCTAGATCATCATCACTGCCTGACAAAATTCCAATAATGTATATTCAGCCACCCCCAATTATTGAAGTAACAGTTGAGTCACGAGACTTACTCATGGATATTTGGCATTACTCTCCTCTGAGACTACCTATTGGACCGGACCAGTCGCTGGTCTGACCAAGTATTGTAGTGACAGTGTTTTTCTAGGAGTGTTTGCAATGCTTTGTGAAAATCATGTTTGAGCAGTTCAATAGTGTTGATCTGGAAGAGCACAAAAATGCCAGTGTCCTTCCATAAAATTTGTTGAGACTCAAATGCTGCAGTGTTTTCTGAATATAGGATACAAATTTTAAAATAAATGTAACAATTGGGACTATGCTGATTGTGACAGATAGACAGGATAACCTGAGGTGAGTGAAGGACTTTTGGATGCTGAAGAGCATCATCAAGGCCCTCTTCTGTAAGTTGGTGCCATACTTTGACCATCCTCAGATGAGACTTCAGAACCCAGAGCCATATCCAAATGCCTGCCATCCTTTAGTCTTGCAGCCTCTGACCATTAATCCTTCGTCACTAATTCCTTTGAGGTGAGCAGGTACACCACAGGTCAAGAGGGTATGGAGATTTTGTCCTCAGTAGTGCTATGGGTGACATCTGAACTCTTCAAAGCTTTCATCTCCAAGACTTCTGACACAGAAGCCTTGATAAGATTCTTATCTTATTCTTGTACTTCCAGCCTACTGCAGTTACAACTACACACATAAGGCTTTGCTCCACCTCTGAGTGCCACTGGGTTATTATGCCCCTTGAAAAACTCCTCTTTCTATCACGGTACACATTTTTTGGAAATGTAATTTCTTTGGGGCTGCAGTCTGCAATTACCTGAGTGTTTTGGCAGGTGTAAGAGGGTGCTTCCAGTGTGGTAGCAGAGGTTGAAGTGTGGGGAAAAGAAAGATAACACAAAAAAGATGGGTTCAGCAGCAAAAGGCAGGGAAAATGAGAAAACAAAGGTTTTAGTTCTGAAATTCAGTCAACTGAGGACAAAGCAGGAGGGATAGACACTGCTAAATTGATTGAGGAAGGGCAGTTGGCAGTGAAGAGGAAGATATATGCAGTACCTGACTGTGCAGCTTCCTTCAGGTTTTGCAGCCACTCTTGAGGGTCTGACAGCTTTGGGGAATGTCTGTACCTTAACTACATACTGGAGCTTTTTGTCATGGGAAGTCCACATGAGGATTTAGGACCAATTACTCCATTGAGTTGGAATGCTGTAGAGTTCTGGTTTCGTGCAACAGGAATCTGCTTTATGCACACCAACATCATTTTGAGAAACCGGTTAATATGTGGTTTTATGGGTACAGTCTGGGTATTTGCTTCAAAACTACCCTATTGCTATGAAGTAAATTACTAAAGTTAACAGAATGACTGTGCCTTATAAATTCATGAATATGTCTCTTCATGACCGTGACCAAGAATTTTTTTTTTCCTTGAGAGTTTTATTGAACGGCATATGATTAAAAAGAAATAATATGATTACTGCTTATTATTTCTGGCTTCCTGCAAAATGGAGAAAACGAAAAAGAACATTTTGTTAACAGGACAGCTTTGCAATCATACAAAGAACTGCATTCATACTTTGTTTTTCTGCCATGTTGTAAAAATTTCAACCCCAAAGAAGTTTGTTTAGTAGCTGAAAAATGCATTGATTTGTAAGTGTAAATCTTTGCGCAATGTCATATGGTTTTTTTTTTTTTTAAGATCAAATGAATTGAAAGATCTGCAGCCCTAAGGAAGTAAGGAAATAGTAACCACTGTGAAACTTGATTTCTGTATTTGCACCATAATAGTGAATTATTTGCATGTCCTTTGTCTAAAGATTAACTTTTGTTGATTTCCTAAATCCTGAAAAATAGTCTGAGCCCTCAAACTTGCAGTATCTGCAGCTCTGCAGAACCGACATGGATAGGCCATACCACCTTGAAAATATGCCCTTTTTTTAGCTTTCATGTGAGCAATTTTCTTTCATGTGTTTGTATTGCTAAGTTTAGCTTGTGGTTGGGTATCTCAAACCATGGCCAGATGAGCAGATACAGCTGGAAACAGACTTCCTGTCCTTGTGTCCTTGTGTACCTGTGTCCTGTGCACCAGCTGTGATCTGGAAGCTGGGGAGCTGGTTGAGATGAGGGTCAGGGGTTTCAGCAGCAGTGGAGATCCACTCTTGTGCTTCTCTAGCTCCCAGACTAGCCTGAATCTCAGCATGCCTTAGCACACACAGTTCATTTCGTTTCTGTTGGGACCCTGTCCAAACGACACCCTTTGTTAATGAAATTTCATCTTCGTGGAGGCTTTAGATATCTTCTAGAGTAGATCTCCTTTTACATGCATCCTACTACTACTCATGTAGTAAAGCTAGCAGGGCAGGCTTGGGTTAGTTTAATATGTGATGCAGCTTTCAGGAAACCCCAGAATGTAGCAATGTCTTCCTCTGCTGGTAATAATGATGAAGGCAATCTTAAATGCATGGTTTCGCTTGCCTGTTGATGATTGCACCTATTTGTTACCTCATTTGTGAAAAGCAGAGATCTGAAAGGTGAGTTAACACCCTTTTCTCCTCAGTGCAGAACCATTCTCTGTATTTGATTCTTCCCCAAGCCTATCTTATCAAAAAGCTCATAAAAATTCGTTAACAGTGAGTTCATTGTTAACGAATATTCTTTGATGCAGTGTTTCACTATGTTTTTAATGGTGAATCTGTAGCTGATCACACATTTTTTCCTAGTGAAGATAGGCTATAAAATCATATCTGGCAAAAGGAGTTTTCCTGTAACTTCTGCATTTTGTGGAAGATGATTTTCTGCACTTTTTTCTGAGAACCTGGAGCTGAGCAAGACTAATCAATAAATGCAACTGTAGCAGAGATCTGGACTGCAGAGAAACACCCTCACAATAAGAAACCCAAAGAAGCTGTTGCAGCAAGATGAGATATGGTTTGCAGAAGCTCTGAATCTCATATATTTATCCCACAAGCTGTGACCTGTGTGGCCATGCTCTGAAGAAGTGCAATCCCTAAGATGGACTGGTAAAGAACTTTGCTGTAATTTCACTGCAACATCAAAACACAAAAAATGTGTGTACAGATACGTCTCTGTCACTCCACTGCTTTATTGAACTAAAGTTGTGGCCCTTCAGCTTCTCTCAGCAGTTCTCTAAGCAGAAACATGGGATCCAAGAACAATTCTACCTAAGAAAGGCCTAGAGATGGAGGATTATTGAACTGCAGTGTGTGAGGTGGGGAGTGGCAGAAAGAAGCTCATTTTTGGTACAATTTGTCACTTCTCTTCCTCCATGAGTTAATGCCTTTCTCCATTCATGCTTCACTGATTCTCTCTCCCACTAGGCTCAGATTCTGCCTCTCAGCAGCCAAGGAGTATAGGGAATAAATCCTGGATGCAGACAAGGGGCACTTAAGATCAGGAATCTCAGTCTGCAGGATGAACTGAGAAGCTGTATACCCTGGATGAAGTCTGCCAAGGCTCAGTGGAGCACAGCAGCATGCCAAATCCTCCCTGCATTTCAGCATATCAACCTGGTAAGTGTCCAGCAGGGGTAAGTGTCCAACTGCAGTGCTGCTTTTGTGGTACACTGTTACAGTGGCTTTACTATAGAACTCATCTCAAAACCAAACCAGTTTCCCAAGCTAATGCAGAACAAGGCCTTGAAGACAAATAATGATGTATTTATATAGTGTATTTCTTTTTACCAGCAAATATGGGAAAAAAGCACATTGATCCCAGATTACAATGTTAGAGATGCATGAAGGACATCTGTCATTATGACAGTCATAAATCATCATGCTGAAGCCCTGACATGCCTTTTTTCATTGGCAAAGTAATTTTTAAAAATGGGATATAATTAAGTTGCTTAGAGCCACATATTATCTATTTTAAATCTATTCTTTTTCTTATGTGAAAACTGTCAGGTGAAACACACTGGTTTGGTTTTGGTTTTAGATGAAGCTAGTAAAAAACCTGACCACTGTTCATCACAGCAAATCAGGATGCTGCTAGGAACTGTCCCATGTGAAGGAATTCTAAGGAAAATAAACCTGTAAGTGAAACTATGCTGTAGGTGCACCAGCAAACCATCCTGACATGAAAGACAGATAAGTAGTAATAGGCCAGCATATCTGCATAAGGAATCCTCCAGTGACTTGAATATCAAAAAGGCAATCCTACAAAGAGTGAAATCAAGGGCATATTGTAGAAGCATTGGCCTGCTTGGGCAATCCTGACCTTGATTAGCAGCCCTTCTCCCATGGGAAAGCACATACCAAAGGGTAAGTCTAGCCATAAATACCCGTGCTTTGATGTACAGCCCAGAAAACTGGGCTGTGAATTTGTGTGGGATGAATGATAAGAGCTAGAAACATCAGCTCTACTTTTCTTGGTTTTGTAGTTACTTTCTCTCTCTTACTAGCCGGCTGTCTAATTGATCCTAAAACTCATACACAGAAGAAACATGTAAATACTCAAGTGAGTTTTATAAAGACAATCCTGCTTGATGACAAAGTGGTGGTCTGTTATTCTTAATCTCAAAGCATATAAGTGAGATGGGTAACAAAGCACTGGCATAAACATCTAGGGATAAAAGTAGAAAGAATGAGTCGCAAAATGAGTTACAACTTTCCTGGAGCATAAAATGGAAGAGAGATTCTATAAATACCAAGAAGTTAGAAGAAGAGAAGGGCAGAAGCACAAATAACAGACACCCAGAGTTGAGGGAAAGGTTTTATTAATTTTGCTACTTTCTTCACATGCACATAAGCATCAATGGTAAGTACTTAACAATGCTATTTTTTTTTTTTAACATAATGACATATGCCAGAGTAGGGAAAAAAACAAGTAAAAGAATGTTTGAATAAGTGAGATGTATGCAAGTCTCTAGTGCTGAAATTCACTTAATACCTACTGGGCTCTTGACTTATCTCTGAAAGTTGCTGAAGGACTGGATAAGTCACCAGGGCCTACAGCAATTATGTACCCTAAGAAGGAAATACAGTCAGCATCATACTTAAAATTTTTGGTAATTAGCAGAAATCTGGCATTACAATATACATTTTGCACATTCTTTTAAACCAAACATGCACTTGATTTAACGCCTTGCTCTTCCTTAATTCTTCCCATCATGGCACCTGGGTTTTAAAAAAAGGAAAAAAAAATTTAGTGAAAAATTTAGTGAAAAATTTTTTTCTTAAACTTGGCATTCACGGCAGGCTTAGATTTTGACACAATTAAGAAGTTGTTGGCTGTTTGCAGGGTTATAACCATTCCTGCTTTTAAAAATGGGAAAGGAAGAACCTAGGGAATTACAGAGTACTCTGCCTAACGTCACTACTGAAAAAGATAATGAGACAAATTATTGAGAAGTAAATTCATACACACCATGAGAAGGTGATAAGAAGCATCCAACATGAATTTGTCAAACTAATTTAAGTTCCTTCTTGAATAAAGTAACTGGTCCAAAAGATAAGGAAAAGCAGTTCAAATGTCTGTATGCAAGACCCAAGATGAATCTTGACCTGAGTAAGGTTTTTGATATCATCCTGCATGCTCATAAATGAACTGGGGAAAGCTGTTCCATTTGAAATCACTCCTAATTCAGTCCACTGTCAAAAGTAAACCTAATACATGGTGGTTGCTAGCTGCACGTGGGGATGTCTTGCACAGCTTCTAAAGGATAGGCTTCTGTTAACATTTCAATGAAGATTTAGATGACAGAATTAGAAATAATTACATACCTATAAACTTGGTAGGTGACAATATGTAAAGATTTGGAGAATATGCTCAAGGACAGAATTAGAATTCAAAAATATCCTGGTAGGTTGTGAAATCCAAAATGAAAAATTTGAACAAAGGCGATCGCAGAGGGCTACATTTGGGAGGATGAAATCAAAAGCATAACCACAAAATGCCACTGCAGATAAAGATCTAGTGATTAATAAGGGCCATGAATGAGCCAACAGAGTAATGCTGTTGAGGAAAAGAGATAAATGTAATTCTAGATTTTCTTGAATTGTCTGCTCATGACAGTGTACATAACATGAGATAATTAGCATGCTCTTCCGGGCACTGGTGAGGTCTCAGCTAAAATACTTTGAGGCACCATAATTTCAGAAAGATGTAGATCAGCTGGAAGCAATCCAGAGATCAACAAAGATGAAACTGGAAAATTGGATACATAAAGCATGGTTGCAAGTTCTAGTTTTGTTTTAATAATAATAATAATAATAATAATAATAATAATAAAGGTTATATGGTGTTCAACAGCTTTTGGATACATCAAAGGCTATTACTAAGAGGGTAGTTTTATGGTTTTTGATGCCCACTAATAACACACAGAATGTCAAGGAAACCTTTTTCAGCTATACTACAATAAATAAGACAGTAACCCATTCTAACCAGAAGAAAAGATTACTGCTGGAATATATTACCCAAGAAGATTGTAAATACTTGCCATTATTGATTTTAGATACAAATTAGAGAGACTGCCATCTGCACTTATCAAGACAGTTGTGGTCCTTCTTTGAAGCTAGGAGATGGCCCAGGTGCATGTTTTGTAGCAGGTGGCTGAAATCACTGGAACTATGACAGAGCATACAAATTATTACAAGGTAATCCATAACATATTTTCACTAAGAAATCATTTGAAAATTCCATGTGTGGTTCTAAGCATATTCAATTGCTGTTATGGAATATTGCACAGGTTGCTCTTTAGTACTTTTTTTAACATCTTTCCTTGATTTTGTGTTGTGGAGTTTTTGGTTTATTTTACCTCAGGAAGGCTTGGTACAGCTTTGATTAAAAATTTTGAGGAATAACAAACTACATAACCCCTTGAGATTCTATCCAAATCTGTACTTCTATGATTCATGTGCAAGCTATTGCATTTTTCTGAGCTGTTGAAGATCTCTGCAAGCACAAGTTAATTATTAAACTGGTTCTTTTCCCAGGGCAGTAATGACCTAATCATTTATGATAGTGCTCAAATGAGGAATTAAACAAACACATCCAGAATAAACACAGATCAAATAATCTTTGCCAATGGAAAAGGACAAAATCTTGTTGTCATGCCAGTGGGTCTGCAAAAAAACAGCACAGATATAGACATCAGTAAAACTAACAAGTGCAGGCTTCTCAGCCTGAGAGAAATTATGTTTTAGTAGCTCTTTCTACTCAAAGTTTTAGGACGTTTTTCTATTTTGGAAAATTGGAAGAATGGGAATGAGAAAAAAAAATGTAAGTGTTTTGAAAAGGTTGGAAAGTTTTAAGGGCTTGAATTATAATTAAATGAGCATTTCAACATTCAAAACCCAAAATGTTGCATGGTCATGGTGCATCACACGTGTATATATATGTGTGTGTGTATATATATATATCTTAGCTAGAGGAGCACAGAGGCCTCATATACACAAGAAAATGCCAACCAGAATTACTGTGCAAGTAAAATAGCATTCTGCAATATATTTTTTGTGTTAGCTCAAAATAAATCTCTTTAAAATCATACTCACAAAGGAAAACAGAGCAAAGCCACTTATTTTTCTATTTCATTTTTTTAATATTCAAAACTAAGTTTTTTTCAGTTTTTTTTTTGCTTTTTGTTAGAAATTCAAACCCATATAAAACTTCTGACAAATTCTAGTCACTACTTAATATAAAAATAACTGGCTCAAAAATGTCTTCTAGAGAAATCTGTGATCATCAGAGTGGACTGTAGTGTTAATGAAAATATGACTGTAAACTGGAAGTGTTTTCAGTCACCATTGTTATTTTAATCTAGAAAAAATCATCCTCAAAGATACAATCAGGGTTATGACTTCCCAGAAATTTATAAATATTTCATTTCAGTGTTTATAGGTATACTTCAGTGAATATCCACTGGTTCTTTTGTTCTTTTAAAACTGTACTGGACATTCAGACACCAGAATAAGGATTTCATATTGCACAAGAACTTTCTCTCTTATAAGAAAACCACTGGAGCTCGTGAATTTTGTTGTGCAAATGGATAAATACCGACAGAATACATATGGCTTGCATCAGGTATATCTTTAGACACCCCACCTGTGGATCCATGGCAGTAAAAAACTTTCAGAATTTCAAAGACCCTGGTACAAAATGTTAGGTGTCAAGGGCAGCCTTAATCCCACAGTACAGGGAGGGACAATTAGACAATGGGCGTTGGGGTAGATGACCTTTAAAGGTCTCTTCCAAACTGAGCTCTTCTGTGATCCTGTGACCCAAGAGGAGAGAACACAGCTGAGCTGAGCTTGTTCAGGGCAGCCCCAGCGAGGTGATTTCATTGCTGGGACCTGTAAATATGAAGGTGGACTCTTTGCTTTGCAGGCCAGGCTGTTGGTACAGCCCCATTGCACATGCCAACAGACTAAAGTGTCTTAAGCAGCTTAAATAGCTTTAAGCAGCTTTGAAGGCTTAGATACTGTAAGCTTATAAAGCAGTTTAAGCTGCTTAAACCACTCTGGGACTTTAACAAGGGCCCCACGATGCTGCTCCTCACCTGGTGAGTGAAACAAAG